TTTTTTTTTTGGGTGGAATTTAGTATGGCCCTAATACTCTGTCGTATGATAGAAAAGATTCATTGAATTAATATTGTTTTAAATGTTTTGACCACCATTGTCATCTCACATGTGTTTGCAGTACGAGTTCTCCCCTCAAACCCTCTGTTGCTATGGCAAGCAGCTCTGCACCATACCTACTGGAGGCACATACTACAGTTACCAGAACAGGTAAGTGTGTTTGTCGATCTATTTCTATGCACTCAAAGAAACTGAACTCAAATTGTATATTGGGTATACAATAATTTTGCACTAGCTAAAAGTGTATTCTCACTAAATGATCTCATACACATCAAACATTTGCATGCGCAGTTGTTTTTGTTATGGGCTATAAATGCAGCCATTTGAACCGTATTACCAAACCTCTGTAGGCTGGGATCTGTTCCCCTGTAGTTACAGATGGGCCGCTGTCATCCAGGCAGTAGTGTCATCATGACTGTTTCAGCTTTATTGGCTCTGCCTTCTGTTTCTGGCACAGCATGAGACTAAAAAATGGTTTTGTTTATTTATTAACAGCCAGATTCCAGCGTTGCACATAAAGGCAAACACTCTGAAGATCCTAAACCCCAAAGAGCATCAGACACTGAGACCACCAAAGCAGTGTTTTGATTGGTTTTTGCTCAGCATCTATAGAGGGAACGAGTAAATTCAGTGTTGTTGCCCCCTTTTTTGTACGACAGATACATAAATATAACTCTTTGTTTAAAGCCACAAACAGCGTTGCCCATCAATGCCTTTTCCTCTCAGTTGAAAGCCAGCAGATGGCTGCTTGCACCACATTCCCTTGCACCGCCTGCTGTATAAACTGTGTAACTGCAGCCCTTTTTCACACTTAAACTGAGCACTTTGAGAGGGGAGCAGCACAGCAGCAGTAGTGATACAGCACAGTCTGACAGACAGCATGAGACTCCTGCAGCGCAGTCCATTTACACTCTCAATGGGAGCTCAGGGATTTCCCCACTCTGTTATTAAACATAAAAGTGTTACTTTGTGCACAATTATATTACGCACACATAAGGAAGGAGCCAGATAATAAATATTGCAATGTTTTTGTATTTTCTGTGAAAAAGAACATGAAGAGCTGTGTGTAACTGTAGTTGAGATTCACATATTATGTTTTTTTTTGCATATTTAGTGTTTTTCTCTGTTTTTTGCAGGTATCATTTTTGTGAGAAGTGCTTCAATGAGATCCAGGGAGAGAGTGTGACGTTAGGAGATGATCCTGCACAGCCACAGACGTAAGTGAACCAGCTATTGATAAACCCACTAAAATAAAGAGAAAAAAAAAAGTTGGAGTTGTGCAAGTTTAGGAACATACTGTGAGGCAAGATGTCTTTTTTTTTTTTAACTATGCAAATAATCTTTAAAGCAAAGCGAAATGTCCCTCTAACTTAACCCTGTTCAGGTCAAAGTACCCGGTCAGCTTCAAAACAGCAACCATGCAGCTGACAGAAATTTAAACACTTCTTTTTTGCATGATGTTAAACCAAACTCTAATATAAATTATTTTGTTTCTGTATTGGATTTTAATTTCAGATAAATCTGTCTGTATTTATGAAGAGATTCTTAATAAGTTTTTGTGTGCGTTTTGTTTTGTCTCACTGCCTCTATTCTTTCTCTGTCCCTTCTTTTTTCTAACCCTCCAGGATGATATCAAAAGACCAGTTTGAACGGAAGAAGAATGATGTTCTCGACCCTGAACCGTAAGTAGACACAAACCCTCACATCCGGTCAGCGAGGAGGACTAATACTGACAGAGAAGCATGTTCTTTCTGTGTTGCTTTTTCAGAAATTGTTCTCATATGTGTTCAATAATCATTTATGGCTTTTTCCTACTTGCATGTTCCTGATCACATCTTAAAAAGTTATTTTTTGCCACCCACATCTGGCTTTGTTTGTGTGCTTTTGGTGCACAGTCTGCATGTTTTCTTCTCTGGTGCTCTCTGATCAATCACTTAGGTTTTAGTGAGGCCTCAGGGCAACTCGGCAGCGCCACCTGCTGAGTGGAACTGTGTCCTTTTGAGAGTTTTTGCATCAGAGAGCAGAGGCCCTTATTTCTTTGATATGCAGTGATTGCCTTTCACGTTGTCATTCTGACTTAATGATAAACATGATCCACAATACTTATTAATCCTCCCACAAAGGCGCACTTGCATTGGTTTGCTTGCAAGTGCGTAACGACTGGAGGAACATAAACGTGAATGGAGATGTTTGTGTTGCTTGCTGCAGCAGCAGTTAAGATATTAACATTCATACAAATGATGGTCATTGGTAAAATTACTTACAGTTTAGAGAATTGTGTAGAATTGTGTTTTATGTATGCTTGCTTTTCTTCAGGTTTGTTGAATGTAAAGATTGCGGACGGAAGATGCACCAGATATGCGTCTTACACTACGAGGTCATTTGGCCATCTGGGTGAGATGTCAACAGCTACCTTTAGTAGATTTGCATATGTTTTCACATATGTTTACTTTTAATTGTTACACTAAGTCTAACTTCTTCTCTCTCTTACTATTTCCAGATTTATCTGTGACAACTGTTTAAAGAAGAGTGGAAAAACACGGAAGGAAAACAAGTTCTCTGCAAAACGTTAGTTCAATTCCTGACAGTCAAATTTTAAATTACAGGTTCTTGAATCAGCTTTCCTTGTAATATTTATTACAGTGTTTAAAATGTCGACAGATTATTGCAATTTTGTCTCATGAGAACTGAAGACACAAGATAATATAAACCACATCCACCTGCACGTGGGCTGCATATGTCTCTCTGTGGCTCTCCTGCACTGGTGGCATTTATTTTTTATTTTTTATGTTGGCCTTGTGGTTTCACTGGTATTCTTTGGTGTTTGTAGCCCTTGAGAACATATGACCTTTATGGCATATGGTGCTAACGTTTATATGTTGTCACGATCTCTCACAAATGAGTTCTACTGCTTTACTTGTTAGCTTAAACCGAAAGCTACTGCAGGTTTTTTAGGATTTAATGGAACCCGTATTTTCTTTCTAGCCTGGAAAGTTAAAAGAATTGACATTTCTCTAAAATGTCTCCTGTGTGTTTGTGCACTGTAGGGCTGCAGTCAACACGACTGGGAATGTACATAGAGGACCGTGTGAATAAATACTTGAAGAGACAGAACCACCCAGAGGCCGGAGAGGTGTTTGTCCGAGTGGTGGCGAGCTCCGACAAAACGGTGGAAGTTAAACCAGGCATGAAAGCCAGGTGAGAGCATCATTGACAGGTGGACTGGGTGACAATGTTTCCAATGAGATTTTGATGTGGCGTTTTCCATCAAAGACCAACAGAGTCTCCAGAAACAAGGTTGTAATTCTAATGTATACTATGGTGTGTTACTCATCATCATTTATTATTTATCAACAAAAATTGCGTTGGTCAGACAAACAAGTTAACAGTCGAGATGAGGGAGGCCATAATGCTGCAGACAACCAAATGCCTGTTTCGCCTCTTTGATTTGTAGATGCACTGCCACAGTTCATATTTGTCCAGAGCTTATTTTTATTGTCCCTGCCATACAAAGCTGAATGCCCTCTATAAAGCTTTTATACCCACTCAGAGTGATTGTGGAACTTGCATGTGGAACAAGATGGAGTCCACACCCTCCCTGAGTACCTCAGATGGTTGCTCACTGTTTCATCACACAAGATCAAAGTCTGCGATGCTCGTCCCATCCAAGAACCGGTTATCTTCAGGTTGACTGATTTAAGGCTGTTTGCTTTTTATTGACTCAAGGCCACTTGACTTGACTTGTCCCATTATGCTCTTGAGTGTTGTTAAAAGCAGCGTCAGATGAGGCAACTTCTCGGGCTGCCCGTGACTTTTGTTTCCATGAAGCCTTTATAGTCACAATAAAATAAAATAAGATATATATATTAAAAAAAAAACGTTAAAAAAAAATGAAAATACTATATTATATACTTTTGTAACTATGAAATACTTTATCTAAGAATTTGGTTTTACACGTTTTTGGGGAAACACCTTTGCACACCCAAATAGAATAAGAAAAACTTCATATATGATCCACACCTTTGTGTTGAGAGTGTTGTATTTAGTGTAGACCCTCCCATTATCATGTTGCATACCAGTGTTTTAGCAGCCAATAACCCAATATTTGATTTCTCTTCATTACGACAGATTTGTGGACACAGGAGAAATGCCTGAGACCTTTCCCTACAGAACCAAAGCACTTTTCGCCTTTGAGGAGATTGACGGTGTGGACGTGTGCTTCTTTGGCATGCATGTGCAGGAGTACGGCTCTGAGTGCCCATTTCCCAACACTAGGTCTGTCCATCTAATTATTGTATGTAGTACATGGCAATAAAGGAACGACAGGTGCTTTTTTATGGGTGAAGTTAACCATGTTCCCTCACTCTACCTCTGCAGACGGGTCTACATATCATACCTTGACAGTATTCACTTCTTCAGACCTCGGATTCTACGCACAGCAGTGTATCACGAGATCCTCATCGGCTATCTAGAATATGTCAAGAAACTTGGGTAAGCCTTACCTTACTACTCTTTCTGCCTTGATAGATACAACATGGGGAAGAGTCTCTGGCGTGACTCTTTGAGTTCTTAGGCAGCAGATGTTTTAAAATACACTCTGTCTTTCTGGTCTTATTTTTGGTGTGTGTATGCCCGCAGGTATGCCCAGGGCCACATCTGGGCATGTCCACCCAGTGAAGGAGATGACTACATCTTCCACTGCCATCCTCCTGACCAGAAGATCCCAAAGCCAAAAAGGCTGCAGGAGTGGTACAGGAAGATGCTGGACAAGGCCTTTGCAGAGAGGATTCTGCATGACTACAAGGTAAAGACTTTTTCTTTTAAGACACAAGGCATACGTCTGAATATGTCATTATATTTAGAAAGGACAAATTCACGTGCATGACAAAGTTTAATTAACTTATACGGGGAGGTGAGTGCTGTCTTGTGAAATTTGGATTATCTGCGTTCCTGTTTACATTTCTTAGTAGAATTCTGTGTGAATAGTTGGTTGTCTGAACATGTGCTGCTTTGCCGGGTAAACAGGAAACAATGTAAATGTGCCGTATGTTGGATTACTGTTAAACAAGTAAAACACATCTTTTAATAGTTTGAATCATCCATGTTTTTTGTCTTCCTCTTAGGACATCTTCAAACAAGCGACAGAGGACCGTCTGACCAGCGCTAATGAGCTGCCGTACTTTGAGGGCGACTTCTGGCCCAACGTGCTGGAGGAGAGCATCAAGGAGCTGGAGCAGGAGGAGGAGGAGAGGAAGAAGGAGGAGAACACAGCTGCCACTGAAACTCCTGAGGTGTGAACATTGTGTCATGATTTGTTGACATGGTACTAGCATAGAATTTAAAACAACAATTTCTAGTCAGTTGTTTATTGTCTTTGCCAGCCATTTCCCAAGCTTCTGTAGATTAAACATTCTTTCATATAACACTCCTTTTTAAGCTGTCCGAAATCAACATTGTGAGGATATGCGATTGTTTAACATTGTATTTCTCCCACAGGGTACACCAAGTGACAGCAAAAATGCTAAGAAGAAGAACAACAAGAAGACCAATAAAAACAAGAGCAGCGTGAGCCGAGCAAATAAGAAGAAGCCTGGAATGCCGAATGTAGCCAATGATCTGTCCCAGAAGCTGTACGCCACCATGGAGAAGCACAAAGAGGTCAGACTTCTTTTGATTTGATATAATTTATAATAGATATTGATATTGATTCAACATTTGCGTATTAGATGGTGAATAAGGAGCATCATTTTGCTTGTGCTTGTCCAAATCTCATTTTTGTGTGCTTTTGTCTGTCTGCTGAAGGTGTTCTTTGTGATCCACCTCCACTCCGGTCCAATGGCCAACACCCTGCCACCCATTTGTGACCCTGACCCCATGCTCTCTTGTGACCTGATGGATGGCCGTGACGCCTTCCTGACTCTGGCCAGAGACAAACATTGGGAGTTCAGCTCCCTCAGGAGGTGCAAGTGGAGCACCATGTGCATGCTTGTTGAGCTGCACAACCAGGGACAGGACCGCTTTGTCTACACTTGCAACGAGTGCAAGCACCATGTGGAGACACGCTGGCACTGCACTGTGTGCGAGGTGAGCTACTACTATTACTACTACTCTGAAACAGTTTGAATCACAGGGTAAAAGAAGAGAGAGAACGAAGTCTCTCAGACTAGAACAGACAAGCAGGAAAGATATTTATGGACTACATCAGATTTGTGTATTAACAAAAGTGCAGACTTTGTTAGACTCATTTTAATTACTGTTTTCCTGTCTGCCCTTTTCTGCAGGACTTCGATCTGTGCATTAGTTGTTACAACATGAAGGGACACGAGCACCAGATGGTGAAGTGGGGCCTTGGCCTGGACGACGACAGCAACAGCCAGAGTGGAGAGGCCTCCAAGAGCCCACAGGAGAGCCGGCGCTTGAGTATCCAACGCTGCATCCAGTCCCTGGTCCATGCTTGTCAGTGTCGCAATGCCAACTGCTCTCTGCCGTCCTGCCAGAAGATGAAGCGAGTGGTGCAACACACCAAGGGCTGCAAGCGCAAAACCAACGGTGGCTGCCCTGTATGCAAGCAGCTTATCGCTTTATGCTGTTACCATGCAAAGCACTGTCAGGAGAACAAGTGTCCTGTCCCGTTCTGCCTGAACATCAAGCACAAGCTTCGCCAGCAGCAGCTGCAGCACAGGCTCCAGCAGGCCCAGCTGATGAGGAGAAGAATGGCTACCATGCAAGGCAGAACCATGCCGCTACCGTCCCCACCAGCCTCAGCTGCCCCCAGCACTCCCACTTCCCATGCCCAGCCCAACACTCCCCAGACGCCCCAGCAGCCACTCTCCAACCAGCCCCAGACTCCCAACTCAGCAGGTGTTATGTCCCCCACTTTCCCCAACACACCTCGCAATGGCCCGCCTCAAGCACCGGTGTCTCAGGGGAAGCCTGGGCCCCAGGCCTCGCCTCTACACCAGCAGCAGTCCCCTCTCCCCCAGCCGCCTCAGCAACCTCAGCAGCTACAGCAGCCTCCACCTGCTGCGGTCAAGATGGCCCGACACATCGAGATGATGGCACAGGCTCAGCAGAACTATCGGGTCAACATGAACGGCTTGCCCATAAACCCCCAGCAGCCACAGCAGCGCATGACTGGACCAATGCAGCCACCTATGCAGATGGTGCCAGGGCCCCGAGGGCCACAGGTCGTGCAACCAGGCATGGCCCCAGGACAGTGGCCTGGCGCTGCAGGGCCCATGCAGACACCTCAGACTCAACAACCAGGACTTGTCCCAGGCCAGACCCCACAGCAGGCCATGACCATGCCGCGAGCCATGATGCCCCTAGGGCAGCAACCCCAGCAGGGCCAGAGGATGCTGATTCCACAGCAGCCTGGTGCCCGGCCACAGACCCCCCAGAGACCTGGCGCTATTGCACCCAACGCCCTGCAGGACCTTCTTCGCACCCTCAAGTCTCCCAGCTCGCCCCAGCAGCAGCAGCAGGTCCTCAACATCCTCAAATCAAACCCTCAGCTAATGGCTGCTTTCATCAAACAGCGAACAGCCAAGTACCATGCCAACCAGCCGCAGCAGCAAGCAGGTCAGCAACAGCAGCCCGGGATGCCAGCAATGCAGGTCATGGCCATGCCAGGAGGGGCGGTGCAGAGGCCGGGAATGCCCCCTCAGCAGCCCCAGCAACCTCCTGCGCAGGGCCTGGCTGCATTAGGGGCTCAAGGGCAGCTGATGAACGCAGCACACAACAACCCCCAGATCCAGGAGCTCTACCGTCGGCAGCTCTTAAGACAACAACAGCAGCAACAGCAACAGCAGGATCCCAGCATCAGCAGCAAAAACACAACACAACAACAACAACAACAACAACAGGGAGTGATGCCTCAGGGCCATCCTGGTCAGTTCCCTGCTCAGGCGCAGGGTACAGCACCTACGTACTCCCAGCTCCGCATGCAGCAGCAGCAGATAGTCATGCAAGCAGGTGCAGGAGCAGCTGGGGGACCCATGGGCCAACTCCCACCCATGGCTCAGATGGCCCAGCCTGGCATGGTGATGGACTCCACCCAAAACCTACTGCATCAACGAATGCTCCAGCAGCAGCAGCAGCAGCAGCAAATTCCCCAGCAGCAGCAGGCCGTCCTCAAGCAGCAGATGGGCTCTCCTGCCCAGCCCAGCCCCATGAGCCCCCAGACCCACCTGCTGGCCGGCCAGCCCCAGGGTGGAGGCCACCTACCTGGCCAGCCCACACTAGCCAACGCCCTCAACAACCAGGTCCGTTCCCCTGCGCCAGTCCAGTCCCCCTGTCCGCCCTCGCAACAACAGCCCCAGCAGCAGCGGCCACATTCCAGTCCCTCACCGCAGGTCCAGAACCAGCCCCAGCCCTCGCCACAGCACCCACATCCACCCCACTCGGCTTCCCCCCACCCAGGACTCGGGGGCCCGCTGTCAGGGTCCATGGAGCAGGGACACTTGGGGACACCAGAACAGAGCGCCATGCTACCGCAGCTTAACACGCCCAACAGAGGGGGGCTGAACAGTGACTTGGGGATGGTGGGAGATGCTACAGGGGACACTCTGGAGAAGTTTGTGGAGGGATTGTAGCATTTTTGCTGGGAACTAAAGAACATTGTGGCTCCCAGGGACCCATCCTCTCAGTCCTCTTTCTCCTAGGTTCCCCTCAGACTCTTTATCCCGTTAGAGGGCTTTGTTTGTTCTTTCTAAGTTTGCGAACGGTTTTTTGTACTGACATGTAAAAAGTTTCAACTGTTGTAAAAAGAAAAAAGAAAATTTGGTCGATGGGGAAAAAAAAGAGTCAACACTTCTAGGGAATGTAATTGTTTCATAAACCCAAGTGATGGGTGTTTTCTTCCTTAAGATGTTGAGGGATTTGCAAGTTGCTTCTTAAATGAAATTTAAATCACAAAGAATATATTTTTTGGTTGAGACCAAATGTGTTCAATACTCAATTTATTTTTGGTTTGTTTTTGGTATGGTTTCATGCCTTTCTTGTTTCTTTTCTTTCTTTTTTTTAAGAACATGTACAATTGCATTATATTATTCATATCTTTTTATTTTGTACCTTTGGAAAAGAAACTTAAAGCATTTTTGTGTTGAAACTGTAAAATAATTTGTCTGGGAGTTGGGCCAGGTTTTTGTTCTGTTCTCAAGCTGTCATTCCTGGCTATTGTAATCTAGTGTTGTACCATTACTCCAAGACGATGCGTTCAGGGACCGTTCCCCTCCTCTTTGTGTATGAAGAGCACTCAGTTGTGTTAAATAGGAAAATGGACTGCGGCAGGTTGTGTATACACGGGCATGTATGCAGGCGCACATGAAGACACTGACACACAAACCCTCACAGTCACTAAATTAACTACAGCTCCGACTGGTTTCACAAACGCAGACAACAAGGACTGCAACCTACATCTCAGTGGCCTGGAATTTAGAAAATCTGTCTTGCAGGTGTAGAAAATTGTTGCTTTGACATTAAAAAGAATCTGTCATACTTTTTTGTCATACAGATGTTGTAAAGTGTAAAGAGATTGTGAGAAAGAGACCAGCCCCCTAAGCTGAGGTGGAATGATCACCGGTTGTTTGTAGGCCACATCTCGGATGATGCCCCATCCTCTAAATTTTACACTAAGCTGTGTGCTATCTAGGGATGAGGGGCACGTTTGAGATTCACCCTGAGGAAAACTAAATGTTGTCAACCCTCATTCCTCTCTCACAAAAACTTGAATTGGGGGGGAATTTACTTTTTCTCCTATTGTAAATCAAGTTATTAAGCAAAATACTATAAATATAAGGAAGAGAGATTGAAATCACTGTATAAACTGGTAAAAGACTCATTTCTTACTTATATACCATATTGTTAAATAAACTGTGTGCAGCAGAAGAACTCCAGTACTCTGTTGACTAAATAATGATGCATCACTCCTGTTGGTTGTGTTCATTTGTTTCCGCTCCGCAGTGTTTTATCATCCTGTCACCAGCAACAGTGGGCGGAAAAATACGTGAAATTGGTCAGAAAAGAGTCCCTCAACTGTACGACTGGTTACATTTCTGCAGTTTTTCAACCTAAAATGACATTTGTTTCTAATGGGACTATTTCCACCTGAATTTGAAAATATGTTTTAAGAGTAGTTTACTTGTTGTGATGCAGGACTTTACAAATACAGCTCACATTTCAGAAACTGAAAAATATTACTATTAAGTAAGTTCTTTTATTAGGCAATAGCAGGATGCGGTTGAGGGTGAATATTTTACCTGTTCCCTTACTTTTTACTTGATAGAAGGGTAAGTAAACGGCCAAGTCAACTCTGCTGGGGTCTCAGATGAAGGCCTATATCTAGATTTAGAAAACTGAGTCATGTTAAAGCAAAATGATTCCAATACATGTCACATGATCCTGTCCCCACCTCTTAGTCGAGCCGTAAGCTTTGCAAAGTTACTTTTATAGAAATGTTATAAATATAAGATATTTGAATCAGCCTGTGCCTGTCTGGCTTCCAGGCGTCTACAGTATAAACACAAATTTTCTGCAGATCCCCATAAAATTGGTAATTGTGTCCCGTGTATACTAAATTTAGAATTTAAACTATTAAATTCCAGTTTGGTTTATTAAAATCAAGGTAATGGGAATATTTCCAGCTGCTTAAATGTGTGTTTCAGAATAAAGCACTTTCCATCTTCCAAGTGAGTTTCCTCCACGATTACAAAAATGAATCCTAGGATGTGGTTGGATTTTTGGATTTCAAGTAGTGGTGACAGCAAAAGTAAGGTTGTAACTAATTATTTTTAGTGGGGGTAACTAATATTACTGAAATGTATTGGTAATTAGTTACATTGGGGATCAAGTAATGGGCAAAGTAACATTATTATAGGTAATACCTTACTGCGTGTGATGGTGTTTTATTCCTCAGAATACAATAACAGCCTAATATTGACAACCTTTCAATACTTTCTTATAGACTGACCTGTTTTTGGCCATTTGCGTTACATGTAATTACTAAAATATAACATTTGTTTATTTAGGTGGTGTTAAGGTGAAGTAACTTGGGCCTACCGTCTATAAAAGCCATTATCAGTATATATATATCATTATAACTTATGAGAACTGTAATGATGCTGCAGGTCGTTGCAGTCAGCTGACCTGGACGACGTCATGATTCGTCCGTTTACCGTCATGTGACCGGAAGCTGAGAATGACGCGGCTGGGTGTCGGTACTTTTGAAATGAAAACAAACTCCTCCGCTCTGCTTCTGGTTTTATTCGCTTTTGTCTAATCGATACACAAAGTTGCGTATCATTAAAAGAACAGGAGCTCGTGGGAGTGAACAGAGATGAGGCGGGAAACCGAAGAACAAATTCACCAAACCTGGGAGAGGACCGGGTGTTAGCATGACGAGCTAGCTGGCTCACTTACATTCCCACCACGAACAGTGAGACACAATGTTACAGCGTGGCTAGAAGCTGACTCTGCAGACGTGTGTTTGCTTTTAAAGACAGCGTTACTGCTTTCTTTCCGCCTGAATCTTGTCGACATGTTTTGAGCACACCCAGCCCCCGTCCAGCTGCTCCAACCTGAAGGAGCCGGCTCTCTGTGCAGGCTGGTTAACGCACAGCTGCGGACGTGCTGGCATGTCCTCTCCTGGTGTGAGACAAAGTACACCATCATGGACGACTCGGACCAGGATTTTGTAGATCTCTGCTCAAAGCTGCTTAAACGAATCCGCAAGAAACCAGGTGAGCCCAAGCAGCCGAGGAGAGCCGAGCCTCAGCCCTCCAGTCAGACAGGGGACAGAGACAAGAGGAGGAGAAACAACAAAAGAGAGGGGGACTCTGGGTCTAAGAGTGCTGGGAGCCAGTCTGTGTGTGCGGCAGCAGAGCAGCATGAGGTCTGTGGAGAGACTGGACCTGATTCAAGAGACGCTGGGTCGTCTGCTGAGAGGGGTTTGGCAGCGAAAGACAAAGTGCTGCACAGAATGCAACAGTTCAAGAGGGTCAGTCCACCGAGGATGGGACACAAGGACCAGAACCACTGTGCTCCTCCTCCACCTGTGGTGCAAAGACAAGGTGAGAGCACAGGTTGTTGGTGTGCAGCGTTGTATGGAGGGAATACAGATGAGGGTCTCTCTCCCTGCTTCTGCAGGACTTTTTAAAGATGCCATCATCAGTCAGTTTTGGCTTGTTTTTGTCTGACTTTAATCTGCCTTGATTTCATATGTTAAGCAGGACAGTAAACAGTACTTTAAGTAGGAGAAGTTTATGTGAATTTTGGGGATTCTTATTGGTTTTTATTGTGATACAGTAGAGCTGCCTGATACTGATAGATAATAATAAATAAAAAAAGATAGACAGGAAAGAGGGAGGGAGAGAGGATGGATTTGAACCCAAGGCTGCTGCAGCAAGGACTCAGGCTTGTACATGGGGCACCAGTTGATCCATCAGGTCCCCTGAGCTCAACATTTTTAACCATGTGTTAACCAGCAGCTTAGTGTAACAGTGTTTTGGGGATTGCTGCCGTCAGTGTGTGTATGGGGCAAGGAGAGGCAATTTGTAAAGCACTTGGTGTGAAAGTGCTATAATGCCGCTAGTTTAGCACACCGTTGACCTGTATCTGTATGTCCCACCTCCGCTCTGTACCCAGATACCGCAGAGTCCAGTAGCTCAGGCCTCCACCCGGAGCCCCAGGACAGTGACGAGGCTCTGGCCCTGCGGCTGCAGCAGGAGCTGGACAGGGAGGCTGCAGATGTCCAGACGGTGGACCTGGAGGACGGAGGCCTCTTCTTCTGTCAGATCTGCCACAGAGACCTGTCACACATGACCCCTGAGGGGCGAACGCAGCATCTCAACAGGTCCGGATATTTCTATTTGCATTGTAGGCACGTGACTGAGGCTCTTATCGACGGTGATCTGTAACAGAATGAACTGACAGCACTGGACTGTTGGACAGTGAGTGAGAGTGATCCGATCCCTCTTTGCAGGTGTTTAGACGATAGTGAAGAGAGCGCCCCCGCCGCTCCTCCTCCTGGTGTCCCCGACTGTCCCATCTGTGGCAAGAAGTTCAAGTCCCGGAAGAGTCGCTCGGCCCACCTGAAGCGCTGCTCCTCAGACATGGGCGTCCCTCCGGCTGTGCTGCTGCAGGTTCTGCAGAGACAGACTGAGGAGACCCAGAGTGTCCCCACTGCTAGCACACTGTGAGTCATAATAAAACTCTGAGCTCACCACCCGTCTCAACAATGCACTATATGAGAACTTTCTAAGCCTAATCAAACCTTGTTCTAGCCTTATCTGTATTTTTTCCCTCCTCAGTACGGAGACTGGAGGCACCAAAAGAAAAGGCTCGTCCAAGCCAGGTCTCCCAACAAGGAAGAAGCCCAGAAAGAACACTGAACCCCTGGACGAAGACACTATGGTGGCCCTGGCTCTGTCCTCCTCCTTGCTGGAACAGGAGAGGGAGTCAGAGAGACAGTTACAAACAGAGACGGCTGTCTCTCACTTCTCCTTGACTCCAGTGTTGAAGTGGAGGCCAGACGCAGGTACAGTGACATCACTACATCATCATCGGTTTTTTTGTGTGTCAAGACAGAAATGATAAGATGAAGCATTAATACAACCGGGATAGAGCTACAATGACTAGTCAATTAATTGATTGGTTGTCAACTCTTTAATAAATGGACAGCTATTTTGATTATTAATTCATCGTTTTGAGTTAATTTTTAAGAAAGAATTTTCAAATTGTCTGATTTCAGCTTCTGAAATGGGAGTATTTTCTGGTTTCTTTAGTTCTCTATGACAGTAAATTGAATATCTTTGGGTTGTGGACAGGGCTTTGAGAAACAGTGATCAACATGTTTTGACATTTTATGGACTAAACAACTAATCAATTACTGACAGATTAATCAATAATCAATTAGTTGCAGCCCTGAACAGGGATTGTTATACCTCATAGTGTAGCACAAACTTATATGTTCCTGCTTTAATGCAACATTTTGGAATTGTTATGAATGTAATTGCTTATCAAATGAAGTATACTAGAGAAGAAGATTTGGTTTGTTTGTATTAAATGACTTTTTGTTCTTTACATCAGACAGAACTGGCTCATCGTCAGCGTTTGCTGGATCTTATTTATCAACTCTGATACCATACGATTTTTGTAATTTTACCAGGCATATATTCATGAACATGATCAAATAAATCAAAACTCAGGAATTTGTTGTAGTAAATGTACATAAAGGGAATGATGCTGATTTTATATAATGGACACAGAACTTTGATTCTGATTAGCTGAAGAGTGTATATGAGTTTAAATGGCTGCACATATCTGACGCAGTGCTGTTTAATTGATTCTCAACGTAGCTTCTGATGCTTGTTGCTATGGAGCAATATTGAAGTTTGAAACATACTCCAAGGAGTTTTTAACTGGTTATGAAACAGTAATACTGATGCCGTTATATAACCTACATAAACTTACATAAGCAAGAAGATTAACCTTTTCTATAGTTATTCTTAATGCCTGCCTCTGGGTCGGATTCAATGCAACGAGGCGGTAGAAACATTTCTGCTTTTATCTGCAGGGGCCACCAGAATCAATACATAATTAAAGTTCCTTGAAGGGCTTTAAATAATAATAACCAGTAGTTTGAGCATATAGTTTAGAATACAGTCTGGCAGGTACCTGTGGCATAAACCTGCTAACAGAAAGATGGAGACACGACAGCAGGGTTTTAAGGGAAGGAACACTCATCATGTGTTGTGTGTCTGTTACCTTTGAACCGAGCTGTAAACAGTGTGTAGAACTTAAATCTATCTGTGTGTATGTACTCAGCAGACAGATTGTGTGCAGGTTTATAAGCCTTCAGATGCATCACCTCCCTCTCTCCCCTCCTCTCTGCTCGGTGCAGGTAAAGGCCGTGGGAAGAGGAAAAAGGGCGCCGTCCCTCGACCTCCTCCGCTCCTCCTCGTTCAGGATGCTGAGGCGGCTCTGACGAGGATGCAGGAACGGGTTTCTGCTCTCCTCCTACGCAGCCGGGCCCCCTCTCCCCCCACTCCGACCCGCTGCCCCAGTCGTCTGGCTAACTGTGGCGGTGCTGCCCCCCTCTGGCAGAAGAGCACACTACTGGAGGGAGGCTCCACCTGTCTGTCTGATTTCTACACTCCAGAGCTCAGAGAGTTCATCACGCCATGGCAACCGGCACTGGTGAGAGAGCCCAAAGACGTCTTTCTATACTTTGTTGTATTATTTCTGTTTTGTTTGAACGGAACAGAGGAATTGAAATCATACTGAATATAAATCTTATGTTCTTTTTTTAATCAAAAGCCGCTTGAGATGGAGAACCACACACCTCACACAGTTCTGTGAATTAAAATGTGAAAGGCAGATGCTGGATTTTGTTATTTTTCAGGTCTGAAATGTTGTTATTATACTGGAGCATACTTCTGTCCACCAATTTAGATGTTTATGATTTAGCTTACATCTGTGAACATTATACTGAGGTTGATTTACAAGGTTGGCTATATCTAAAGATGGCTAACCTTGTGAGGCAACTGGCAGTATTTTGTAGTCGACCACAAGGTCATTGGTTTTGCTGATATTGAGCTTCAGGTGATTGTCGTTGCACCATTTGACAAAGCTCTCTATCAGTCCTCCTTACCTCTGTAAAAAGAGTCTGTGAAGTGAAGATTGCGGTGTCTTTCCACTGGACGCTGTTCACGTACGGTGCGCATCAAGTGTGCGGCGTTATCGTGCTAGGAGTGCTGCGCGAGTGGGCTAAACATGGGCGCGGGCGTGGCCGTCTTGGACGCGATGTGGGTGTGTGTGTCGAACCAGTGCTGTGCGCTTGGGGGCCGGCAGGTCAGGGCTGATGTGGACGTGACATGGATTAACTGACTGATGTTTGCGCGCACACGGTTCGCGCCGCGCGGTAGTGTGGTCGGGCGTCATTCTGTGCAGAAGATGCGCTCGGGAGAGCGCTTTTTGCTCTGTTCACTTTTCAGGATCTGGGTCCGCGCAGTGTTTTCGCGGTGAAGTTCGGAAGCGTAGGATTATTGTTTCCTAAACTTAAGGTAATCTGGTGGCTGTGTGTTGGGGTGTGTGTGTGGGTGTGTGGTTTGTGTTGGTGTGTGTGTGCTGTGTCGTGTGTGTGTGTGTGTATAGATTCACTATATGTACAGTTCACGTATAGGATGCTACAAATATAGAAGTAGTAGAACAACAGTGCGAGTCAGTCCTGCTGTATTTGGCCAAAAGTCCTCATCCACATCACACCTCATGTTCTCTATTGCAAAACACCTGAGGATTAATGTTGCATGGCTGATCTAATCCATTCCTGGCAGTTGTCTGTATTCAAGGATTTAGTGTTATTTATTGTAATTTAAAATGCAAGGTTGTATAATGAAACTTAGATTA